AGGTAGAAGAACCTTCCCAAAAGGAAGTGTCTCCAATGGACAAGTGCCTTGTAGAGAGCATAGAGTTCCCTTTCGTGGGTGGACTTAGCCAACTTCTTCGATGGCATCTTCTTACTCATGTACTCGATCGCTCTCAACTTTTTCCCATCCTGCTGAGCCAGCACTGCGCCAATGTCGTATTGGCTTGCGTCAGTGGTCACTATGAATGGCTTTTGCGGATCGGGAACCATGAGAACTTCATGATTCATGAGTGCATGCTTCAATTTCTTGAAAGCACCCTCGCACTCATCACTCCAGTCCCACGGTGTGTCTAGTCGAGTTAGATCAGTCAAAGGAGAGGCGGCTGTAGAATAGTTCTTTACGAAGTTCCTATAGTAGTTGCACATTCCTAAGAATGATCTGACCTCAGTGACTATCTGAGGTCGTGGCCAGTCTCGAATACTAGCCACCTTCGCATCTTCCGGCCTAATCCCCTCTGCGGATACTTCATGACCCAAGTATAGTATCAGTGCGACCGAATTCACACTTCTCTAAGTTGACTTTATTCTTGTGCTGTCGTAGGAGTGAGAGAACTGTCTCAACATGTTGTGCGTGCTCCTCGGCAGACTTACTAAAGATCAAAATGTCGTCTAGATAGACTACGACAAACTTATCTAAATGGTCATGGAAGATCCAGTTCATAGCGTGCTGGAATGTACCCGGCGCATTACAAAGACCGAAAGGCATCACTACAAACTCATACAGACCATATCTAGTCTGAAAAGTTGTTTTGTGTTGGTCCTCAGGTCTTATCGCGATCTGATGATATCCGGATTTCACGTCTATCTTCGTATAGTACTTGCATCCCTGCACTCTATCCAATAGGTCGTCTATGCGAGGTAAAGGCTCTGCGTTTTTCACAGTGAAGGCATTGAGGCCCCTATAATCAATGCACATCCTCAAAGTACCCCCCTTCTTCGGTACGAATAGCACGGGTGATCCGTAAGGGGAAGTACTAGGCCGAATCCATCCCTTCTCTGTCAGCTCCTTTAGTTGCTTCCGAAGTTCATCTAACTCGGCAGGCGCCATCCTATAGATCCTTCCCTTTGGGGTCTTACTCTCTGGAATGATTTCTATAGCGTGCACGACTTCCCTATCAACAACTCCTGTGGGATCCTCGAACAGATCAGCGAACTCAGCAACGACGCGTTCTATCTCTGGGGGTGTTTTAACGGCCTCCCCCTTCTCAGAGACATAAACAAGGTACATACCCTCCTCTTGGTTTTGCTTGTAATAATTGTAGAACGCTGATAAACACAAGCAACCATATTAATCTACAATACCGCTGGCCTTGAACTTAGTTATTCTGACAGTTCGGCCATCGGGCAACTTCTGTTTGAGCACCTTCTTATCCCAGTCAAACCGGGGCTTAGCAATATCGAGGTAGTACATGCCTAGCAACATGTCAAATGGCAAGTCTTTACTAACCAAGAACGAGATCTTATGGTTAAGCTCATTTCCTCCATAGGAGAAGGTACAGACTACGTCCTTGAGGTAGTCTGTAACAATCATGCGCTCCTTGTTGGCCAAAGTAGATGCTACTGGTCTACTAAGGTGCTGTACCCGGTCTTGTAGGTGCAGCCTTTCCAAACAGTCGCGACTTATGTAATTTCGCGTGGAGCCTGTGTCTATGAAGGCACCACATTTGCGGCCTCCTACATCCACTTCCACAACGAAATGTTCCCCTCTAGGACCCTTCTTTAGCGCCGCCCAAGACTCACGAGGGTCCTTGTTTGACCACTCGCCTTCTAAGTCTTCTAAGGCCTCAGACACATCTAACGTACAGAGCATAGTTTCGTCTAGATGCGTCTGCGGGGTAGCTAAGGTGTCATTAGCTTCGGCTTCGTCATGAAGTGAGGAGGGTATCATTCCCACTTCATCTTGAGTAGAAGCCGCTATCACTTCCACTGGCCCTACGCGTTTCCCGAGCTACAAGCTCGGGAAATAGTTGCCCCAACCTTTGGTGCAACCTTTTGCGTAACCTTAGCGTTCGGGCACTTCCACTGCGTGTGTCCGTATTCACCGCAGTTGATACAAGCGCCACGCGATCGGCGGTCACGCCACACGTCCTGGTCAAGACCTGCCTTGACCCACTCAGCCTGTTTGGACTGATTGGAGGCGGCCTTCCCTTGACTCCTAGGTTGGCCCTTCCCTCGGCCACCTGCCTTAGTCTTTAC